ATATATGACCAGAAATTCCAGAAGTACCAGAAGTAATAATTTTAATTAATTTTAACTGATGTCTGTCTTTGTGTTTTTAATAGGCTGTACACCGCCCTGAGTCCTTTGGGAGAAGGGTGGTATAGAAATAAAATTATTTATTTATTTATTTATTTAATAACATTGCTCAGGCAGACACCAGTTCATAATACAATTCTCATCTCCATATTCACTGTGTACTGTATAAAAGGATATACTGGTAGTTAAATTACATTTTATCAGGACAAATAAGAAATAATGAAGCTATATTAATATGTCCCTTCTGCCCAATCATCTCTAGTCTTTTTTCCCCAATAAAAGACTTCATTGAAGATTATCTTAATATAAGATACAAATGGAAATAAAGACATAGGGAAAATAGTAAAGGAAGAGGAAGGAGAAAGAGGGTATTACATAATATTACAGTCTCAACTTTTTACTTTCATATAGTTACTAATTACTAGCCGTTTCTATAACAACAAATTAATATAATAACAATAATAAATAACTAATAAAAATCCAAAGTCAAGTTTTCATTTTCTTGTGTTTCAAGCACAAAGTCTAGAAGTAAATCTTCTAGATCTACTAGTAGATCTTGTAGTAGATCTCCAAGTAAAAGCAAAGTTGGGTACATACTTTTCCTTGATTAGAACAGTTAATTTTGCCATCTCTACCAGTTTCATCTTGGATGAGAAGTGAAACATTTTCTTCTTCTTTCTCAAGGAAAAAACAGTCCAGTTGCTTTTTGAAAAAGCAACTTTGAGACTCCTGGTTCAATCACTTTTTCCATCCATTCTTCCATTGTGGGAATTGATATATCTTTCCATCTTTTTGCACATATAAAATTATCAGTGCAGTCAACAAATATGTAGCACTACCCCCATAAGGGCCGCTGGATTCCAGGTTCTCCTGGCCCTCTTGGTATTGCTGCCAGTCCACACTGATCCCTTGCTCAGCCACCTCTATTGGCGTGGGTCCAAGTGGAATGGTGGTCAGTCTCTTCCCAGCAGGCAGGTCAGTGATGAGATGGTATTCAGGTGGTTGGTTGGCCTTCCTCCCTTCCTCCCTCCCTCCTTTCCTCTCTCTCTCTCTGCCTGCTGAGCTTTCCTTCCACTATCTCTGCTTCTTTGTGGATTCCACTGCTTGCCCCACAGAAGCCTCTCCTATCCCCATCTCTCCCTCTGGCTTGTCCCACAGAAGCCTTTCCTATCTTATTCTCCCCATTGCATTCACTCCCTCTCCCTTTCCCCAGGCCTCTTTCTCTATGTTCCCCTTAAGTCTCTTTTCCTATCCTCTCAGGCCTCTTTCTCCATTTTCTTCATAAGCCTCTTTTCCTATCCTCTCGGGCCTCATTTTCCCCAGGCCTCTCTTGCTATCCTTACCTTCCAGCTTTCTCCCTAGAAAAAAATCTCCCTCCTCCTCTCACACTCCCTCTATCTTCCATTCTTCCCATCAAAACCTCCTCCTTTTATTCTCTTCTCCTCCCCCGCTACAAATCTAATAACAAAGTTCCAATATATTTTTCAAGATCCTTATCTGTTAGTCCCTAAGAAAACTTCCGGTTTCAACTGTATATTTGTTTTAAGGATTTTCTGAATTGGTACATGAATCTCCCTCTGATATTTCTTTGCTTTCTCACAGATCCTCTACTTATGATTAAAAAATACCTTCTCTACAATTGCATTTCCAACAAACATTTGAGATACCTTTTTACATCTTTGATAATTTGTCAGGGATTAAGTAGCAATGATACTTCCCTTTGTAAAAATCCTCTTTCAGGTTATAGTTCAAAGTAAATTTCAGCCCTTTTAGCCACCTATTTTCCACATTATTACCAAATATTTTCACCCATTAAATCATACTATGTTTAGCATATTCATTTTCTGGTTTGACTTTAATATTTTATAAACTTTAGCAATAACTTGTTCATCATTATACAATTATACATTATACACATTATACAATTTCAAATTTGGTTTTTACAGTTTCAAAACCATAACTTTTCTAATCTAAATTAAAATTTGTTTCAGTTGTAAATATGTAACTCAGCGATAAACACATCCTTCTGACTCCAATTCTCCAATCAACTCTTAATGGCAAATGTAGCCAGGATAAATCTGGCTTCTTCCCACAATCTGTCTCCAATCTTTCCAAGCATCAGGTGAAGAATCTGAGTGGAATAGAGTATCCATTCATCACTTCCCCTTCTTCTTTATGTTGTTTTTGTTTAGTGCCCTACACTTTGTTCTATGGAATTAAAGCTATCCACCCACCACATGATAGCAGTTTAGTTGTCATAAAAGTAGCAGGATTCAAAATTTTCCAGTCAACATTTTTCCATATTGAATATTAGGAAAGTTTTTTTAAATGAAAAACATGTTGATGAGGGGCCACTAATCCAAAAACATGATGATTTGTTTTCATTGGATATTTTCAAGAAGAGTATGTGCAGCTATCTGTCAAAAGTACTTTAATTTATTTCTGTGCACTGAACAGGGAATTGTATTTTGTAGTCTCAATCACCTCTTCCATTCTCTGATGCATTTTTGTGATTCCTAGTCACCACAATACTTTATTCAGTTTATTAGTGTAGTTAACACATTTACATGCTACCATATTGATGTCTTTAAATGAATCATTCCAACCATTGATAAGTGTTGGCTTGAAGACATATTTTTTTGATTTTTTTTTTCATACATACTATATACTTCTCTAGTTTAAAAAAGGAAGATAACTAACACTGACTTTTTAAGCTAAGCTAAAAAACATAGTTGAATGTTCCCTCCAAATAATACTGAAGAGGGATTTTTGTCCAACCTGTTTTGCTATAATGTAAGCACACTCTACAATAATAAGAAAGCATTAAAGTTTCAGCACCTTAGTTAAAAGTGAATCAAACATTTAACCAGTTTTTTTTAAAAAAAACCTCATATATGCAGATGTATGTAGAAATGATGCTGATTCTGATTCATAATAATTTTAAACTACCTTTATAAAAGGTTTCTGAAAACAATTCTCTCTTTATTACTCTTCTAGCCCTAAAACATATTCTACTACAGCAAATCATCAGGTTCTAATATCATTTTATTAAACCTGCCCAATGGGGTAAAAAAAAAGAGAAAAGAAATGCATCTAATACAGAGTCAAGTCATGGATATAACTGCCAATTTGCCCCGATGCCTGGAAATGCTTTTCTATAAAATAATCAATCCCGAAATCACTTACATTTTTTCTTGACAGAATTATTGTCTCTCCTTAGAATCCTTAATATGGGTCCTGTAATTGATAAACGCTACCCTTGTTCAGTCATGACAAAGATGTATCACCAGTGGGAATGTTTGACTTTACATATGACAAGCTTAATAATAGCTGACTTTATATTTATATGACTCTATAGTTTCCCTCTAGACCATAGAAACAACATTAACAAATATTATGAGCAATTTTTTAACAAAATTAGCAATTAGCAGCAATTAGCAGTAAATGGGGATTAAGTGAGAAGGCTTTCATGACATATATTCTATAACAGATTTCAACATCCGGAATATTATTTTACAGACAGATTTTTGTTTTTATTTTGTCTTCCAAGCCGATTTCTCCATTGTTCCTCACCTATAGACAGAACCTTGCCAAACTAAAGCATGCCACGAGCCCCATAACACATTTATTCTGGGCACTATTAAGAATGAGCTGTCTTCACCCTCTTTCTGAGTGGTTTATAAGAAGCAATCCAGATACAAAGAACAACCACCATAAAAGCTAATAATCAGTAACATGCAATCTGGTATATATTCATGCACTTTCCCAATTGAGAGTTATTCATTCTACACCAAATGCATGGGAATAACCATATTTTAAAGCCCATTTTCCAGGCATGGTCCCAGCAGAATATCAGAGGGGGAAATAGGAGAGAATGATCTGGCATTAAGCAGAAAGAGCTGCACTCAGGCCACCTAAGGCTTGGTGACTGAGCATTGTGGATGATGACATTAGGCTCATATGCTCCATGAATTGACTGGTCCTTGACTTCCACAATTCATTCCATTCCTCATCAGCACCATGATTTTCTGCCTGCCTCTGACCCAATACACAACAGTACATTAAATAGTAAACACTAGGGAGATTTTGGCTAATATTCAGTACTCAGCACTTTAAACATAATCTGCCAGGCCCTTCCCTCCCCTGAACTTGTTTACCTCTTTCCCAAACCATTGTTTATCTTCTGGCATACTAAATTAAAAATAGCCAAACAAACACCAACAGCTATGTAAGGCTTCATCCCTTCTACTGTCTCCTATATCCTTGGAATACAGATGGCTGTGTAGAGTTAGATTTCTGTTATTGCATGTGCAGTTTACAAGGATGTCTACAACAGAGTAATTATCTCCCACTTCGTGACTATGATCTTCAATCACAAAAAAATTAAGAATATTGGGTTTAATGTTTGAAGAATATACTGCAAAAAGTCTGATAGGAACATCTGCATTTTTCTATTTTCAACAATTTGAGACAAAATTTAAAACATGGTTACAGTTATGCAGTTCTTCTAGCGATGATCAAATCATCAATTCCTTGCTTTAGAACCACATATTTATTTATTTATTTATTTATTTATTTATTTATTTATTTATTTATTGGTTCAATTTATATACCGCCCTTCTCCAGAGACGCAGGGCGGCTTACAATGCGTTAAGCAATAGCCTTCATACTTTATGATACTTCATACATATGATCCAGGCAGACCAGTGAAACTGAGTGATGAAAGAGCTAGACCACTTAGAATACTCGTATAAAGCTATTCCATAGATTATGATATTTCACTCTTAGAAATTGTGCTTTATTCATTATCCCAGTGTTAAATGACCAAGGGGTTATGTAGGAATGTATGAAATATGCTCCACTAATTCAACCTCTCAACTGAATTCCTTCTTTTCATTTTAAAGACCTTTGATGCTGGGAATCCATGACAATTTCTACTTTGATTTTCTGCTGAGTGGAAGGTTGCTTCCTTAAAAGATTCAATGTGGGGAAAAATAGAATAGAAAATATTGTCAAAGGAAAGTCCATAATTTAGACACAGCAGATTTGATATTCTTATTTCTGATGCTATATATGATTGGGTTAAACAGAGGTGGAAGTAAACAGTAAAGAGCAGTTTGTATGAAATCTAAGTAAGATTGGGTGGTAGAGGGAGGTTTCAGATACGCCAAGCACACAGTTACCCAAAACATTGAAAAGACCGTAAGGTGGGGAAGACACGTGGAAAAGGTCTTCTGTCTTCCTTTCACAGAAGGGATTTTCAAAACTGCCTTGAAGATCATAGTGTAAGAGACAATGATAAAAATAAAGCAACCTAATCCTAAAGTGATTATACTAACCACAAGGAATCCAACTTCAACTAAATTGAACCCAAAGCAGGACAGTTTTAGCAAATGTGGAATTTCACAGAAAAACTGGTTGACAACATTAGAACAAAAAGGGATGTAAAAAGTACCAATGGTGTGCCACATACCATAGAGAAAACTTGTCACCCACACCAGGATCATCATTTTGATGCTGGCTTTCCAGTTCATCACCAACTCGTAGTGCAACGGTTGGCAAATGGCAACATACCGATCATATGCCATGACTGTCAGGAGGAAGAAATCAGAAGCTTCAAAATAGTTAAAGATCAATACTTGTGCAAAGCAATCAAAGTAAGAGATATATCTGGTGTTCATGAGAGAATTTATCATGGATTTGGGAACAATGGCTGAAACAATACCCACATCCTGTACTGCCAAATTCACCAGAAACAAGTACATGGGGCTGTGTAGTCGATGGTCAAAAGCTATTGCAGAGATGATGATAAGATTTGCTGTTGTAATTGCCAGATATAATATGAAGAATAAGATGAAATGTAAAAGCTGCAGATGCCGATCTTTGGAGAATTCCAGGAGCAAAAAGTAAGAGACAATTGTTTGATTGTCCATCTTTAAGTTATCGCTAAGATGAATGCCACATCTGTAGGAAATCAGAAGTGAGAATAGCATTGAATTGAAACAGCTACAGCTTGATGCATATTGGAATAGAAGGGAAAATATAATAAAAACATGACAGTTAAAAGGGAACTATAAGATTGAAAGAATGTCAATGTCTAATCAGAACACACTCTATTGCAATTAATTATTGATGAATGAACTAACCAGAAAGCCTTTTATTTTCCCCCTTCTTCCATTCCATTTTTTCCCCTGTTATGTTTAAAATGTTTGCCTACAATTCCAAAGAATCTGCCAAGTATACCTTCAGCACTTAGAAAATCTATGTCATACCCACACACAGAGAGGAGACTGAAAAATAAGATAAAAGATTTGGAGTTCAACCTGGGAAGAAAATTGAATTTTTAAACTATTATTTCACTTTTACCACTAAATCTTTTTTTTCAGGTAAGGAATGGATAGACCAAAGAAGAACATTGTTGGGTTGTGTTTAGGTTACCAGTTGGCCACAATACAGCTCAGCTGCCTTCAACTGTCCTTTCAGTCAAACATGGTTTACTATAATTCTAGTAGTTACAGGATATAAAATAATTTAAAAAGGGACGTATTCCAAGTCAGGTCCTCCCTCAAGTGTTTCCATTTGCATTGCTGGTTGCTGTAACTCTAATCAATATGATATTTCCCATAAATTTTCAACTGTTTATAATATTTGGATCTATAGTATTTGTTTTATATATTAGTGAAGAGGTAATTTGATTATTTATTAATTAAATTTTTATCTTGTACTTCTGGAATGTATGACCCTATTTATTAAATAGGGTTGCTCAAGCAGACATCAGTACATAATAAAAGATTAATATTTTCATCTACATATTCACTGGGTACTAAGTAAAAGGGTATAGTTAAAGTACATTTTATCAGGACAAATGAGAAATAAAGAAGCTATAAGTCCCACTGCTCAATCATCCCTAGTCTTTTTTTTTCCCCAATAAAAGACTTTATTGAGGACTATCATAATATAAAATACAAATGGAAATAAAGACATATGGAAAATGGTAAAGGAAGAGGATTGTAGTCTCAATCACCTCTTCTATTCTATGATACATTTTTGTGATCCCTAGTCACTCCCCACCATACTTTTTTCCAGTTTATTACTTAGTGTAGTTAACATAGTTACATGCTACCATATTGATGTCTTTAAATGAATCATTCCAACCACTGATAAGTGTTGGTCTGGAGACATGATTTTTTGATTTTTTTTCATACATACTATATACTTCTCTAGTTTAATAGAGGAAGATAACACTGACTTTTTAAGCTAAGCTAAAAAATGTAGTTGAATGGTCCCTCCAAATAATATTGAAGAGGGATTTTTGTCCAACCTGTTTTGCTATAATGTAAGCACACTCTACAATAATAAGAAAGCATTAAACTTTCAGCACCCTAGTTAAAAGTGAATCAAATATTTAACCAGTTTTTTTAAAAAAACCTCATATATGCAGATGTACGTAGAAATGATGCTGATGCTGATTCATAATAATTTTAACCTACCTTTATAAAAGGTTTCTGAAAACAATTCTCTCTTTATTACTCTCCTAGCCCTAAAACATTTTCTATTACAGAAAATCATAATGTTCTAATATCATTTTATTAAACCTGCCCAATGGGGGGGGGGGGAAGAGAAAAGAAATGCATCTAATACAGAGTCAAGTCATGGATATAACTGCCAATTTGCCCCGATGCCTGGAAATGCTTTTCTATAAAATAATCAATCCCGAAATCACTTACATTTTTTCTTGACAGAATTATTGTCTCTCCTTAGAATCCTTAATATGGGTCCTGTAATTGATAAACGCTACCCTTGTTCAGTCATGACAAAGATGTATCACCAGTGGGAATGTTTGACTTTACATATGACAAGCTTAATAATAAACTGACTTTATATTTATATGACTCTATAGTTTCCCTCTAGACCATAGAAACAACATTAACAAATATTATGAGCTGCTTGATTTTTTAACATAATTAGCAATTAGCAGCAATTGTTTTCCCTGCTCAAATGGGGATTAAGTGAGAAGGCTTTCATGACATATATTCTATAACAGATTTCAACATCCGGAATATTATTTTACAGACAGATTTTTGTTTTTATTTTGTCTTCCAAGCCGATTTCTCCATTGTTCGTCACCTATAGGCAGAACCTTGCGAAGCTAAAGCATGCCACGAGCCCCATAACACATTTATTCTGGGCACTATTAAGAATGAGCTGTCTTCACCCTCTTTCTATTACACAAACTATCTGAACTAACTTTCTCCTGTGAAATGCACTCCCTTCCCCTTCAATATCCAGACTACATTTCATCACAATAAATGGTTTATTCTGTTACCATGTTGGAGAGTTGAGCAATTTCTTCAAAACACAGATCACCTTCGAGATTCATCATGCTGCTTTATTATCATGATTCCTAAATTGAAATCAAGAGATAAAGAAGAAAATATATTCACAACCACCTTTTCTATTTTTGCCCTCAGACTGATAACAAACAGCATGCATTTCTTATATTTGATAGAAATATGATATTCATTCATTTTACTACCCATAAGATCATGAGTGACATCATTATGACATCTTAGGGAAAGCAAAGGAGCTTCCATGATTCAGGCCAGGTCCAAAGCATCCATGTTCAGGATTACCTCACTATTTCCCTAGTGCCTGTTTTTTCTTATGTTGGCTTTTCCATTGTTTTTTTTGTTGTTGTTTTTTTACAAATATCTTTGTTATATTTCGATATCATGCATTATCTGAAATGATTCCATGGTCCATTTCACAGCTGTCTCTGGCCTGTATTGTGATAATTATATGTTACCATATTTTTTGGAGTATAAGATGCACCGGAGTATAAGACGCACCTTAGTTTTTCGGGAGGAAAATAAGAAAAAAGCTGATTGGCAGATTACCCCCAATCAGCTGTTCCTAGAGGTGAATTTTAGCAACAGGTTCCTTGGTTGTGAGCTCTGTGCCTTGCTTTTTTTTTTTTTTTTGTGCCTCTGAAACTTCTGAAACTCTGTTTCAGAAAAAACTTTTTTTCCTGCCTCTAAAAGCCTCCAAAACAGCTTCAGAAAAAAAGCCTCCGAAGCTCTATTTGGGGGCTTCTTTTCTGAAGCTTCATTTCTGAAGCTCTTTTCAGCTTCTGAAACCTCCGTTTGAGAAGCTGGGTGGGGCTACATTTGGAATATAAGACACACCCAGATTTTCACCTTCTTTTTTGGGGGGAAAAGGGTGCATCTTATACTCCAAAAAATAAGGGTAGTTATGAATAGTGTAAATAAGTTCTTTTAAACATGATTTCTGAATTTTCCATCCATTAATTGAATACCCCCAATTTACAACATTAGTATTTCTGTCATTACTGAGAACCGGATGGCTCCAAAATGGAGCCACACAAAGAAGAAGATTAAGTGCTTGCAGGGGTATTTGCATTAATGCCTATTTATCAGCAGATAAATGTCTGGATATTCCTATTTGTATTCTGCAGTGTATCCTCCTTTGTAAACCAATTTTATGGGGTCTAATACATATAAAATATTGATGGTTCTAGAAATTGTTGCTTTGTATTTAATTTACTTTCTTGCTGCCTAGCTGCCTAAGATTTTGTTAAAATAAAATAATAGTCATCTTGAGTGGAGATACTGCAGGTTCTTCTGGATTGGAATCAAAAGCAGCAGTTTTTACATCGATGTGGTGGACTACAAGTTCTCATAGACTGAAAAACAGCAGGTTTTACATAGATGTGATGAACTACATGATCCTTTCAGCAATTATTACAGCAGTATAAATAGTTAACACTACTTGGAAGTGTTCATCCCAGCTTGAAAGTAACGGTATAATCTTCTGTAAGGAAGGAATCCAATCTCATATTTGTCATTGATTATTGATGAAGTTTGTCATCCAAAGGGACTGGCTGCTGATGGTTTTCTTTCTTTGAAAGAGCCTGAATTTGCCTGTTCAAAAATAAAAGATCAGAATGTAGAGTCATCTTTTTTAGTTAGGGTCAAGGATGGGGTTCCAGGCTTAACTGTACAAGGATGACAACCAAACAACATTTTATGTGAAGACAGGCCACAATAATTTCTGGGTCTATTTCACAATTGAAATAATACAAAAGACAAAGCCTTTGCCACTTCAACTGTGTCCCCTGGAAAATTTTGCCTCAGAAAGTTTTAATTATCCTTAATTTTAATTATCCTTAATTATAATTAGCCACCTATCCCCAATTACAATGCAGTCCTTTTGGCTGTTCCAAGAAGATACCACACCTCTGATTCAGGTGACCCTGAGGTCACAGATAAAACCCTAAGTAACCACAATGGGTCTCAGACAATGTTAAGATCAGTTGACTGCAATAACAGCACAATCTTTCCATTTCCATTCCCCACACCCTCATCCTGACTGAACCTATCATTCTCCCTCCCATCAACTAATCTCAACTGTCAATAACTGTCCTTCCATCTCCCACAGCGTCCAACGCAACTGATGAATCTTCCAGAATAGGAAGCGAAACATCTGGTTTGTCCTCAAAAATCCAGTCCAATTGCCTTTCAAAATTGCCTTTCTTTTAAAAAAGAGCCTGGTGGCGCAGCAGACTAATAGCCTGTTATTAACATTCAACTGCCTGCAATTACTGCAAGTTCGAATCTCCCCAGGCTCAAGGTTGACTCAGCCTTCCATCCTTTCTAAGGTAGGTAAATTGAGGACCCAGTTTGTGGGGGCAATAAGCTGACTTTGTATAAATATACAAAAGGATGAAGGCTATTGCTTAACGCATTGTAAGCCGCCCTGAGTCTCCGGAGAAGGGCGGCATATAAATCAAATTAAAAAAAATAAAAAATAAAAATAAAAACCACTTTTGATACCTCTATCACTTGGATAATTGAGAATCTTCTAGACTTTTAATTATCATGTTAGCATTCTCCACTACCTCTGATACTCTTGCTATGGCATAGGAAGGCCTTGAGTCGGTGGATAATTTGCCATGAATCACCAAAAGAAACTTTTATCCATGTATAGGGAGAAAAGAAAGTTGACTTGTAAATATTCAAAAGAAAGGTAGGCCCAGGATACATCCCTTTGTAACCCTATGTCTTATAACAGCATTCAAGACTTGGTATGTAGGGCATACAAGCAACTCTGGAAGTTTCTACATAATCTCCAGGATCAAATTATGTGCTTCAATAACATTTACAATTACTTGAGTATCATAGTGTCTTTTCACATATTTAGAATTTAGAATAACAAAATTGGAAGGGATCTTGGAGGTCTTCTAGTCCAACCCCATGCTTAGGCAGGAAACCTTACACCACTTCAGATAAATGGTTATCCAAACTCTTCTTAAAAACTACCAGTGTTGGAGCATTCACAACTTCTGGAGGCAAGTTGTTCCACTGATTGTTCTAACTGACAGGAAACTTCTCCTTAGTTCTAAGTTGCTTCTCTCCTTGATTAGTTTCCACCAATTACTTCTTGTCCTACCCTCAGGTACTTTGGAGAATACCTTGACTCCCTCTTTGTGGCAGCCCCTGAGATATTGGAAGATAGCAATCATGTCACCCCTAATCCTTCTTTTCATTAAACTAGACATACCCAGTTCCAGCAACCGTTCTTTATATGTTTTAGCCTCCAATCCCCTAATCATCTTTGTTGCTCTTCTCTGCACTCTTTCTGGAGTCTCAACATCTTTTTTACAATGGTGATCAAAACTGGATGCAATATTCCAAGTGTGGCCTTACCAAAGCATTATACAGTGGTCTTCTCCCACGTAAAATTGGAAGTGTCTTGGCGACGTTTCGATGAAGTCTCATTCGTCATCTTCAGGCTGGTGTTCTCGGCTTCGTGCTTCCAGGAGCAATGTGAGATCGCAGCTGTCTCTTCCTTTTAACTGCTAGTGGAGGTGTGAGCTGATTGGGTGGGAACTTGGCTGTGTTCTGATTGGGTGGAAGTGTGTTCTGATTGGTTAGGGGCTTGGCTGTGCTCTGATTGGCTGGGGTTGTGTTCTGTTTGGATGGGGGCTGGGTTGTGCTCAGCTTAGTCTGAGTTGCAGGGGGATTTGAGCTGGTGAGCTGCGTTGTTGTTGTTTGGCTTCGTGTTTGTGGCCGTGCGAGCTCTTCATGGTGGGTGTCAGTCTGCTTCATGTATGGATTGGAGGGGTTTAAAGTGGCAAAATCCTCCACAAACATAACATCAAGACAGCATTCTGCACAAACCGAAAAATATCCACCATCCTAAGGAACCCCAAAGACAAAATTGAGTTAGAAAATCAAGGAGTATATGAAATCCCATGCACCGCCTGCCCCACCACATACATCGGACAAACCAACAGACGAATAAGTGCATGCATAGAAGAACACAAGAACTCAGTCAGTAAAGAGGAACCAACTTCTTCCCTGGTCCAACACCTTAAAGCCACAGGACATGATATTGACTTTAAAAAGACCAGAACTATCGCCAAAACTGAACACTTTAACAACAGAATAATCAGAGAAGCCATCGAGATAGAAAAACGCCCACACAGCATGAACAAACGAGACGATACCTCCCGCCTACCAGCCATTTGGAAACCCGCCCTTATTGACAAACGAGTCCCTAACACGACGAATGACACCAGACCCACACTCACGAGTGCCACACCTGATGTCACCACCACACATCCACGCAGAAAGCAGACTCAAACCCACACTGATAATGAGCCACGACCAAGGACCAGAAGCCAGACTGCAGCTGCATCATTAGCCACTTTAAACCCCTCCAATCCATACATGAAGCAGACTGACACCCACCATGAAGAGCTCGCACGGCCACAAACACGAAGCCAAACAACAACAACGCAGCTCACCAGCTCAAATCCCCCTGCAACTCAGACTAAGCTGAGCACAACCCAGCCCCCATCCAAACAGAACACAACCCCAGCCAATCAGAGCACAGCCAAGCCCCTAACCAATCAGAACACACTTCCACCCAATCAGAACACAGCCAAGTTCCCACCCAATCAGCTCACACCTCCACTAGCAGTTAAAAAGAAGAGACAGCTGCGATCTCACATTGCTCCTGGAAGCACGAAGCCGAGAACACCAGCCTGAAGATGACGAATGAGACTTCGTCGAAACGTCGCCAAGACACTTCCAATTTTACGTGGGAGAAGACCCGAATAACCAAAGACCTACATACAAACACCCGCGAAAACCTGAGAAAACATATATATATATATATGTATGTATGTATGTATATATATATATATACACACACACACACACACACACATACATACATACATACATACACACACTAGATGAACCAGTTGGACTATTCATGTCCCATCAACAAACATTCAAAAATATCATTCAAAGATGTGTCATAGAGACATTGCTAAATAATGGTCTCAGTATCTGAAAGAAACTTCTCAGAAGCAATTGTAGAAGTAATTTAAAATACAGATGCAAATACTGAAAGAGAGAAAGGTCACTGAGCAGCCCATTTACAAACCTGATCAGTGGTTTCTTTGGTAATTGCAGAATTGTCATGTTGATGAGTAAGGAATGAATGACAGCAAGCACTGATGGGAGAAGAACCACAGAGGAACAACAGGATCTGTCTGCTGTTCTGGCTGGCTGTCTGAGGTCAAAAACCTCTTCTGTTTTCCTAAGGCATCAATAGCATGGCAAACACCAAAAGCATACTTATAGTCAGTGAAGGTATTAACAGGTTTGTCTCTAGTGATAAGAGAAGCTTAAGTGTAAGTTAATTTTCTTTGACTTACGACAGCAATTGGGACTGAAATTTCCATTGGTAAGTGATGCAGTTATTTATTATAGAAATAAAAGCAGAATTTATTTCTGATCCCATTGCTTAGAAATGGCAATTCCATAAAAATGCAAGGCCATAGACAGGTAAGTGACTGCTATTGGATTAGGGAGGGTGCATGGGGGTGTGTGAGATTTCAAGGGGTGCACAAGGGATGCAGCACAGGTCAGTTCAGTTCAGTTAAGGTCAGTTAAGGTGCAATAGCATGGACAAGAGGTGCAGTATGGATTGGGGAGGGGGTGTGAGGGTTCACAAGGATGTGCAAGAGGTTGGGGAGGTGCATTGTATATTGGGGAGGGTCAAGGAGAAGACGCAACAGTGCAAAGGGTTAGGCAAGATGTGTTATCTAGGCCAGGAGGATATGTGGGGGTATGCAAGTAGCTGCATTAGCATTAATACAGAGAAATTGGGACAGGATGCATAGTTGGAGAGACTTACACCAGCAACTTGTGACCTTCCCTGCCGACTTTCTGGAGAAGGAAACATTGCAAATGGCAATCATGTTCAGATGTGAGATGCTTGATATCCCAGTCATAAGTGTATAGATAACCAGGGGCCTCCTAATCCCCAAACTAACATATTTCTGCTGACTCACAAATGGGGGACAAAAAATTGCCCAACAGAACAATGCAACTCTGAGTAGCTTATAAGAAGCAATCCAGATACAAAGAACCACCACAATAAAAGTTAATAATCAGTAACATGCAACCTGGTTCATATTCATGCACTTTCCCAATTGAGCGTTATTCATTCTATATCAAATACATGGGATTAGCCACATTTTAAAGTCCACCTTCCAGGCATGGACCCAGCTGAATATTAGAGAGAGAAATAGGAGTGAATTCCAAAGGGCAGATGCAGCTACTTGAAAGTCTTGCAAAAGTGAATCCCCCCAGGTGTTACTAGGTTGTCAAGTGTATCCAACCTGTAAGCAGGATGGTTAGATGTTCTTAGGGAGAGGTTGTGCCACAAATAATTTGGTCCTATGCCATATAGGACTTTATAGATGAGAGCCACTATCTTGAATTGTACCCAAAAGTTAATGGGAAGTTGGTGCAATTAATTAAATAATGGTATTTTTGGTGCTACCGGGTTGCACCAATTACTACCCATGATACTCCATTCTGGACCAACTGTAGCTTCCAGATGTTCTTCAGAAGCAGTCCCATGTAGTACCACAGTAGTCATATACAGTAATTGTGTTGACTTGCAATACTACAGTCAAAAGTTGAACTCTGTCATGAGTAACAGCAAGAAATACGCTGCAAACCAGCACTTGGTAGAATAGAGATAAGGCTTTGGAAATGATGTCAGAATACGGCAGGTGATGGCATTTCCTATGACATCTATGGAGGTGAAAGTTGGACTTTGAAAAAAAACCCAGATAAGAGTACTGACACTTCTGAATTTGTATTGGAGAAGATTTCTGAGAATTTTGTGGGCAGTCAAGAAAACAAATATATGATCATCAAACAAATCAAAGTGCAAATGACCAGTCTTAAATTATTTTACTTTGAACACATTATGTGAAGACCCAGCTC